CCATGTCAGAGTCAGTTGTAAGGATGGGGAGGATATAAAGGATTCTTAATCAAGATAGCCTGCTCCAGCCCACGTTATGGGTTAGGAATAAAAACTGGAGGAGAGATGCTCAGAGAAAGGGGGAGAGCCTGGCTCAGGGCTGTGGTTGTAGGAATGGAGAAGAGTGATGGGATTTGAGAATTAATTAAGAGGCAAAACCAATGGAAACTTGTAATTGTATGAGAGGTGAAAGGGCCGAAATAGTCACTCCCAGGTCCCAGGTCGGTGTCTGATTGGGCTTTGAGGACAGATTCCAAATGAGATAAAGAATGCAGGCTGTTTGGGAGTAAAAAGGTGACTGTGGGAGGTGATAATGGTGATAATGTCTCCCACTGATAATGTGCAAAGGCATTTCCCACCTAATTCTTCCAGTGGCTTTTTGGGTATTTGGGTGATTGTCATAATTTTTCAGATGACATTAAAGTTGGAATGAATAAATAACTGACCCCAGATCCTAACCTGCAAAGTTCTGGGACTGCTATTCAAACTCACATCTGTGTGTGAGCCTCTCCTGAGCACAAYGCATGGGTTCTCCAAGGCAGCACTAGGGATCAGAATGCGAGTCAACAGATGCGATTCTATTTGAACCTGGTGCATTTGAGGCACGGAGGGTATTCAACATGCCCAATAGACAAGACGAGTCTGGAGTGCAGAGAAGTAGTTGGTGTTGGGTAGATGGAGATKGAGAAATTATATACATATAATGGGCACGCTCACTTGGAAATCGAGAAGGAAGAGGATTAAGACTCAAATTCTAGGGAAAAACAACTTTTAAGGAGTCAGTCCAGGAGCTGGAGTCCCTGAGGGAGACAAAGACCAAATGATTAAATAAGGAGAAGGCAAACAGGGAAGACCAGTGGCAATAAATCTAAGAGAGTTTGGCAATTTGCAGAGGAGAGAGATAAGGACCTTACAGAGACTTCAGCAGTTAGGGGACTTGGGTTACCTGGTGAGAAGCTAAATTTCRATGATCTGAAAGTCAATGAGATGTGAAAAGTAGATGTAGCCGATGTGGACTGATCTTCAGGAAATTTGAAGGAAAAGAAAACATTTGCTGGTAGCTAGAGAATAATGCAGGTTGGAAGAGGGGTGTTTTGATTCAGACATTTGTTTTAGGATTGCAGGGACTTGAATGTATATATAGGCAGAGGAGAAGGAACCAGTCAAAAAAAGAATCATAGAGATTCAGGAGAAACATTGGATGATTGAAGGAGAGTGTTGGAGGAGGTAGAAGCATAGAGTGCTCTAGCATGGGTGAGGCCTGCACCAGATAAAAGAACCCCTTCCCCTCTCAGTGTATTGACAAAGAGGTGAGATTGTGAATGTTTTAGGTAGAGAGATCCAAGACAGCATCATGCCTGTTGACTTTAAGTTATTTAAAGCTGTAAGAGGTAAGCAGTTGTTTCAGGAGCCAAGGGGGAGTAAAGACATTCTTATATCAGTGTATTAGTCTGTTTTCTGTTGCTATAACAAAATACCTGAGGCTTGGTAATTTATAAAGAAAATAAGTTTATTTAGCTCACTGTTTTGAAGGCTGTGRAAGTCCAAGAACCATAAATCTCATTGGTTCAGCCTCCCAGGGAAGAACTCATTGATTACATCACAACATGGCAGATGGCATCACAGTGGGAGCATATACAAGAGGGAGAGATACAGGAAGCCAGAAACATCAAGCTTTTTCTTTTTGTCATAACCCTTTCTCACAGGAACTAACTCACTCTGCAAGACCAGCATTAAAGCCTACTGAGGGAGATGCCCCTAAGGACCTAAAAACTTCTCAGAGGGCCACAGCTCTTACCAATTCTGCTACCTCCCCATACTGCCACACTGGGGACCAAGCTTTGGGGACACACCCAAATTCTAGCAGCCTGAAAGCCAAATCTTTGAAGATGATGTCTCCCCATGGATTTTTGTTTCAGGAAGTCCAGATAAAATTATCATACTGATGTGTGATTTTCACATACAGAACATAGCTTCTCTGTTGAGAAATTTCTTGCCCCCAAATCACACAGCTGGTATCCTGGAGAGAAATCTGTCTTAAACTGCTCTCTCTCCCATTTTATGCTGCCTTTGGCTGAAAGAACAACACATTGCTGTTCATCATTTTGAAGGRAGACTTCTGTAGAACATCGTTCCCAATTTTCGCTCCTGCATCGACRACCCCGTTCATTTTTAAGCATTACTGTGAAGTTGCTAATAATGACATCTAAGAAACGAGGACAGGGTTTCCCAGAGAGCTTTCCTTGTGGGCACCTGGCATGGGAGAGGCTCCCTGGGAAAAGGAGGACTTTCATGGTCAAACACGCCTGGTTCATGCTGTGTTTTGTGTCTCTCCTCAGAGTCCCAACACGTGTACTCACGGCTCTGAGCAGGTACACAGTCAAAATGGATCGTGGGCAGCCCAACGTTTACCAAAATTGTTGTAGTACAAATGGTCTCTTACCACATTTTCATTTAAATAAGGCCCTTCAATTAAATGCAGAACCCACCCCACAGATTGCTGAAGTACCTGTTATTTACCTTTATATTATAAATACCAAAGATGCGGGTGGTGAACTTGGAGTGSATTTACACTCTATGTGTTATAGTAACTTAATATAATGTCCATGGTTGGTGTTTTTTTTTTCTTTTTGACAATTTATATTTCATGCCCACATGACAATAAGTCTATCGATAATTTGGCATTCGTATTCTGTAACTTTTCAAAAGGGATTTTTAAAAAATTTGTTCTAATTAGTTACACATGACAGTAGGATGCATTTTGACACATYGTACATAAATGGAGTAGAACTTTTTATTCTGGTTCTACATGATGTAGAGTTTCACTGGGTGCATAATCATATATGTGCACAGGGTAATAAAGCCCGATTCACAT